AAATTTAATAATTTCCATTACTTTATCATAATTTACATATTTATATTGTCTATACGCCTCAATGTCGACCCACACGTAAAATAATATGATCATTAGTCATTTTAAATAATTTGCATTTCGATGGGGCTTGGAAACACATTCTACCATAAATTAGGCATCATCAAAGCAAGCAGCTATACATATATGATCACGACAATTTCAGCCAACCACTTCCAAATAAGTCATATTTTACTGTGAGCTAGGTTGTTGACATTGGCCGAGTACGAGATTATAGTGCAGAGGGAATATAAAACATAAAAGCATAAATATTCATTATTTTAGAGTTTTTATAAATGTTTATCCTTTAGATTTCATAACATTTTATTATTAATTTGTTTACCAGAAGGTACAGGCAAAATTAAAAATAAAATTACTAGAATCTTCTAATCTTATATTTTTAAACTAGCAAGATACTACTTACTATCTCTGATCAAAGCGACGGTTGACTGGTAGAGAAAGCCATCAGGCATTAGTCCGGTATGTATACAGTTTTGTATGCAAAAGAATATATAAATAAATACTAAAGTTATTTTTGACATTGATTTATAACTATCTAATTAATTGAATGTATTTCGTACTTTTTGACAAATTGTATAATAATGTTTCGGCGCCCAATGTTCTTTATTCGAGTCATAAGTGTCTAATGCATAATTAATAAAAAATCATTAAATAAAAAATATGATTAAATAAAAAAATATATTGTGGGAATTATTACATTTTAAGTCGCAACTGATATTTATATAGATACATTAATAATATGCACTATTTATAAATATATATTGTGCACAATTAAATTATAATATAACTTACACAAGAGAATAATAATATAGAGATAAGATAGGTTCCATTAGGAATTATATCTAAAAATGTCGGTACTTTTTTGTAACAGTATCTACTCTCGGTCGAGCACCAAGAATCATGGAGGTCGTTGCTCCGTCGATTTGCGAAGGTCATTATTACCGAACTCTTAGTTTCAACGGATCTTCGCGTTTGGTAGAGTTAACTACGACTTTTTTAATGGTAGATATTGGAATAGTGCACCCGCTTGCACTAGCGGTATAAGTTAGTTTCCAGGACGAACCGCGTGGAGGTCAGCCTGCTATGGTACATTGCTAACTGTAACAATGTGGCTTGATTGGCCTACTCCCCGTCCATCCCATACCAAAAACTACATCTATAAAATTATTAAACGATTTCAGAATTAAACATATTTTTAATATTCTATGGTATGCTCTTTATATAAATTTATATCAATCACTACTTCTTACCTGTATAACTTTTTTATTGTAATGTGATTGGTATAAAACAAACGCAAAATTTAGTAACGTAAGTAAAGCCTAGCACGATAGATAATGAAAGCCGCATCCAAATCGGTGATGCCCAAATCGTCAAAAATACACAGAAAATATTTCTAACAAATAATTGGTTTTATAAAGTCTACCAACAACAGTATTTATCATATAGTTCTCATATATAGACAGCGATTACTTATTTTTTTATATCTATATGACTTTCAAGTTACTTAACAAGTAACGAAGATTAGTTGCATAATAGAATTGTTAAAGTGAATCCGTCACAGAACCAACTGTCCTAGCTAGAAGGTTCAGTAACCCGTCTGACGTGGCAATTGATCTGTTACACGGCTATAAAACAAAATAAAACAGAACCGATAACTGTTGGGATAAATGTGGGTTTTGAGTAGCAACCGCACATGCAAACATAGGATGCGATGTCCTACTATTTTGAGTATACTACTCAGAAGTGTTTAAGTAGCTTAATGGGTGTAATTCAGAACTAGTTCTTATGGAGGTCAATATATATGTATATACTAATAATTTTAGCCATTCATTATTGTATATTTTAAAGTACTGGACAATGAATGGCCAAAATGATTAGTAGCTACTACGGGTAAAATATATAATATAGGTATGTAAATATTACAGAGACAATATTTATTATTCATTCATTATTCAATTAACGAATTTCTTAATGATATGTGATTGTGATGTTTTTCACAATGGAGTCAATTATATCGTTCAGAATATCTAGTAACATGGACATTCTATTATATTATATAGTATTTTTAAAGTAACAAATTATGACTAATATATAATAAATACTGTTTAAAACGAATAATGTATTTTTATGCCTATATTACTTAATGAATAAGTATGCTGGAGACAGCAGAATATGATGTAACTTATTATTATATAATTAATAATCTTACTACCATTGTACGAGTACATACAATATTTCATTAAAAATATTAAAAAAGATTTGAATATTTTTAATACACAAAAATTAAAGTAGATGTCACTTTTATGTCATACATTGTTGCTATCACGACGTTTAAATGAGCAGACAGAGCTTTAAGTTTTTTGTAATTGGTCAATATTAGGGCAACAAGCGGTAGACCTTAACAAAAGAGAATTATCCAATTTACATATTAATTTGCCGAGTAGGTACATTGTGAACACAACACACCTAGACTACGTAGAGGTGAAAGTGGCCCACTTGTGGCGTAAGTGTTTGTTTTTATTTAACATTTTATGTACAATACTGCCTTACTGTGAAACGTATTGTTTAGAATAGAATACTGCGTGGAAACGTCATTTATTGACGTGAATCACCGCGTGCCTTGTGATTACTGCATTTTCTATTGAAGTAGCTCCTTACTTCGAGTGCATATCATTAATTTTATATAATGCAAGCGGACCAGGCAGTTCTTTGTTCACGTTTATTCCTTTGTTTATTAGAAATTATTGCGAACTCCTTAAATGTACTACCTTATAATTTCAGTCTAATAACACAAGGACAGTCTGATTTTATAAAAACAATTGTTGAGTAATTTCATAGGTAATTCCGGAAAAATATGATGTTATATATAACTAATGCACTACTTCCATATAATACATACGTATTATATAAAGGTATATTATTATTAGTTATAATAATATATTTAATAATAACGTAAATGTACTATCTTATAAGTTGAGTCTGATTAGACAAGGATAGTCTAATTTTATAAAAAAAAATTTTGAGCAACTATATCAATACTTCCATGTAATATGTACATATTATATAAAGTATATCATTATTAGGTATAATAATAATTATTCTAATAATAATGTACTTTACACAATATTATAAGTATCTGTTCGATTAATTGAGTTAGTTACTTTCTCAATTTGCCACGAAGGGGAAATTCTATTTGCAATCGAAAGTTGAAACGTCTGTTTTCCATAAATGTATGAACTTTACGGTTGTCTTTACATTAGAAGCGAGAAACCTTTATCAAGTCAAGGCAAAACCTCTTCAAATTATTTGGAAGGGTTACGAAACAATTACGGATTAACTAAAAATGACTCTAATAGATTGGTTCGTTTAGAAATTTAAACCCTAAATTTGAATTTACTAATTAATTACAGTTTTATTTTAGTAATATTAACCCTTTCTCCCGATTTTCTCTGCTTTTTTTTATATAAAATACAAATTATGTCGGTCCTCGTGATACTGACAATCTGTATACTATAATAAATTTCATTAATATCCATTTAGTCGTGAAAAGATAACAGACAGACAGACATACATACATGTATTCGAATTCTTGACTTCTTAGAATATTATAAAACGTTGTAGTATATGTAGTATGTCATTGAAAACATACTAAATATATAAACAAAATATCACTATAACACTAAACGCAACCGATGTAATGGAGCTATGTATTTCCTTGGTGAACACAAAAGACCGCGGTAAAATCGGACCGCGACCTTTACTCTTTAAAGAATACTTTAAATGAAATTATTTCATTAATAACAGAACACGTTCAAATCTGGCCTACATGTAACCTACATATATGCATCGAGTCCATTAATCAATAATCCCCGGGGGTCAGGACGAATGCACATTATATAATATGGACGCATATTATCTATTACTACTTTTCAGTGTTTCTAAATTAAGTCAATTGATGTTTTTTTGGTGGCAAACTAAAAACAAAATATCACTAAAACGCTAAATGCAACTATCACGGAGAGGAGGAAATGCATTGTCTTGTTGAACAAGAAAGAACGTCGTAAAAACCGAAAGCGTCCCTCTGCACTTTAAAGAATACTTTGACTGAAATGAGCTTTAAATGTTTCCTTTAGTAACATAACACGTTTAAAGTTCAAATCCAGCCTATATATGCAACAGGTCAATGAATCAATAATCCCCGGGGGCCAGGACGAATGCACATTATATAATATGGACGCATATTATCTATTACTACTTTTCAGTGTTTACCTTTAGGTGTTTCTAAATTAAGTTAAATGATGTTTTTTGGTGGCATACTAAAAACAAAATATCACTAAAACACTAAATGCATCTGTCATGGAAAGGAGGAAATGCATTTTCTTGTAGAACACGAAAAAACGTCGCAAAACCGAAGGCGTGCCTTTATACTTTGAAGAATACTTTGAATGAAATGAGCTTTCAATGTTTTCTTTAATAACATAACACGTTTAAAGTTCAAACCTAGTCTATATGTAGTGTACATATGTGCAACAAGTAAATTAATCAATAATCCCCGGGGGTCAGGACGAATGCACATTACATGGACCAATGTTTCCAAACTAAGTTAAATGGTAGTTTTTGGTGGCATACTAAAAACAAAACATCACCAAAACGCTAAACGCAACTGTGTTGGAGCGGGTAGATGTATTTTCTTGGTGAATACGAAGAACCGTCATGAAAACGGTCCTCGAGCCTTTACATTTTAAATAATATTTTGAATGAATGGAGCTTTAAATGTTTTCTTTAATAACAGAACACGTTTAAATTTAACCTATATATGTATAGTGTGACCTATATATATATATATGCAACAAGTAAATTAATCAATAATTCCCAGGGGCCACGACGAATGCATATAATGTAAGATGAACGCATATTATTTACTATTAATTTTTAGTACTTACCCTTGGACGTTTCCAAACGAAGTTAAATGGTGGTTTTTGAAAATAAAATATAGAATTCATAACGGCTGGAAATTCAGGGTCCTCCCATAGTTCATTTCGGGTTAAGCAATACATCTTAACAGTCTCGAAATCCATCCTGTAAAAAAAAAAGTATTAGAGAAATTATTTTTACAGAAATAGTTTACGATATTATACTGTTTATTACATTAATTTTGAGAACATAATAAACATATATAATATACATACTTATCCTTGTGGAATAGGGGGAAAGATAGACGAGGGAAAGACCACCACGAGCAACCTGCAGCCATGTCGCAAGCGCGCTTTTAAATGACGTAACGCGTGCGCGATATGACTACCTAGTAGGAAATAAACTTGGGACAATCAGATGTAATCTTTATGATTTAATCGTTTTACTAATCGATTGTTTAAATACTAGTGACCGAATAGATTCATTTCTTGCATATTCAGTCATTCACTTGGCTAGATAGGTGAACTATTAACTTCATTGAACGACTGATATGAATGACAGTGACAGAGATAAATGGTCCGACATGACGTAGGTATTTTTTTAAAATGTTATGGAAACTACGTGGAAAACATTAAAACTTTTAAACTTTAGTCTCCGAGATTAAAACAGACTATAATCAACTATGATGTCTACTCAGTACGTAAAATGTTTATTCCATTGAATGCTGTAAAGGCAAGGGTAGTAATACTTAAATTTCATTTATTAATATATTAAGTAATCGACTATTTCTGTTAGCACTATGATCGATAAAAAATGACTTTTTGTTAAAATTAAAATTAATTTATTATTAAATAAAATAGATTTCTCTTAGTAAAATCTTATTATCCATAGAATTCTGGCCAATATGAAATAAATGAGTCCGATACACAATTAATTAAATGTAACCGTATAATTACTGTGGTAATTGCATACCGATAAGAGGGATCCACTATTCAGTATTTGATTAAATCAACAGATTTTTCAAAAGAGTTGCTGATGGATTACACATCTAGTAGTAAATGAGTGACATTCACCGTACTTGAAATTATTCGACAAAAACATACATATCATAATTTTTTCATTCATTTCATAAATATCATCGTAAGAAAGTTCATTGGGGGCGCCACTGTATTACGCATTGCAATCCTGAAATAAATGATATGGTGCAATGGCGGTGACAAGTGACGAATAATCAATCCCTGTTAACTAAACGTAATTCACACATATGTAGCTGTGTGTGCACCATACTTTTGACGTAACGTCAGTTTGACTGCATTCATGGTAAATGCACAAATGTAAAGTGATTTCTAACGATTGTCAGATAATTTTATGAATGTTGTTTAATTACAGAAACGTTATTATTTTATTAACTTTGACATGTAAATTATTAAAATAAAGTAAAAATCAATTGTACTACTTTGGATATTATTGAATTGATAGAATTTCTTAAAACGAGAGCGATATAAATTAATAAGCAAATTGTTATAAAAACATAATTTCTTTTCAGAATTTTGACGCCCGATGTCAATAGACTTTAAAATAACTTATAAAATATGATAACTCTTAAATAAACGATTGTTTTTGTCGTATATTATGTCGATTACATTGATGAACTCTGGTCTAACAAAAAAAGTACCTAATTTATTTGAAATACAAATAATATTTATTCAAATGACAAAACAATTTTCAATAGTGGTTTTCTTCATTCTACAATCTATTTGGAATGCAGATATGCCAAGAAGTGTAGGTTAATTGTTATTTGTTTTGTTCAGGACGAAGAATACATTTTCCTGTCAATCAATGCTACGAGATATTAATTTAGGTTTAGAATTTGTGATTTAGCGTTTATTCTTGAGAAAAAATAATTCAATTCATTTTCAGCCATTAATATTCGCCCTTATCCTATTATTATTAAAACATCCAACCCATATATCATATTTTATATTGAAAATATTGAAAGACTTATTAATGTTATTAAAAAAGAATACTTACCGACCTATGTAACTCACCATACCTGTGAAGCCTCATTATTATACTACAGCTAGTGTACAACAACCTAGTTGTATTGTCAGTTATGTGATTACGTTTCATTTTGAATAATTACATGCACATATTAGCATGTTTGTTACACATATTCGATAATATTGCGTATGCGCACGTTGATGTCTTTTACACGCGTCGATAGTTTATCTTGCACACTCATAGTGATCGTTGAATTTCAACCGATTCTTTAAAAGATAAGATTCTAAATTCGACTGTATGTCTTTATGTATATATTACGGAACTTATAGAGCCGGCGACTTCGTACCAGTGGCATTCGGAAGACCAGATTAAAGGGTTAATTTTATTCTGATACAATACAAAATACTAGTGACAACCGCACCGAAATCGGTAAGGCTATATCTGAGATAACGTTTATTAATATAAAAGAACCTTAACTTTAATAAAACCTTTCAACAGTTTTTCAATACTTATTCTTATAATATCTAATATATGTCTCCTATGTACCTTAGGTACCTAATATTTGAAAATATGTACCGAAGATGAATAACAAAATTCTGAACGGACGTTTATAGATATTATTACAATCCATACGATATTGTTTATTACGTATTAAATCTGTAGTCTCTAAAAATGATGATGATGATTGTTTTGATTGGATTTAGTCATTTTACAGATGAGATTGTCAACTAGTGAGTAGTGGAGGTAATTTAGGCCTTGAATTAGATATAATATAGACAAAGAATATACACTAGCCGATCTAAAAAGAGAGTTAGTACTCTTAATGCTTCGTTATTGCCAATGATTTTAGAAAAATGCGTAAGAGATTTAAGATAGCAAAAGGAGAATGTTGCCTCACTCTTCTTGGTAATGAGATTATCTGAGTAAATATTTTATCTAAAATATAAATCCGTTTAATTGAGACTTGTACCAACTATAAGAGGACAGCGGTTATCTGATAGCAATTATTATTGTATTACGATCATACATCAAAGTAAATTGTATGTTGTAATTTATACGCGGGCAAACCTGTAGGCAAAAACTGATAATGAAGCCAACGCCCTGCCGGTGCGCACTAACCAAGACATCTCGTCATTTCTAAGTTGATCCGCACACTTATGCTTATGTAGATATTTAGATCTAATAGATTCTTTAAATTTTTACCTTATTTGAAAACAGTGTAATCTTAGACAAGACGGCAAGTCTTAGTATAGTTTGGAAATAGTAAAAGAAGTTATAAGCATCAGAAAAGTGTAAGATTAATGAGATGGTTAAATAGTGGCTGGTTTTACTATTCTTACTATTTACGGTATAGTTTTGTAGATAATAAAAAAACACGTACAAAAGTTTCTTTCGTTATAGTTTAGGAAAGATAACACATACATACACACATATATAAAGCTTCTTTAAATGTAATTATGAAGCAAACGAATAATATACATTGGTATGAATTGTGTTTGAACATAATCTCAATTTATTGCTTGCTTAGATATCGCGTCTTGTAACGATAATGTGTGCTTGCCCTAAGACCTTACCAAATCCAGTTCGTTTAACATAGACTGCTGTAACTAATGTTAACTCCGTAATAATAATACATTTTCACAATACAGTTATAAGTGTAGAGGAAATAAAGCTCGTGAACAAATGTATTTTATTCAGGGATTAAATTTTATGCCCATGTACTGTTAGGTATTTTGACATGCGGAGATATCATCTAATAAACCCAGTGGTCATATAATAATATTGTGAGTGAGTATATAAAATTATATTATATATGATATGTAATATAATTTTATTAATATAACATTGCATAAACTAGACAAAAACAGGAGAATTCAATTAGAATTTATAAACATACAGTTCTGTTTCCTAGTGTATTTTTTTTTGTGTTATTGAAGTCTATCTATTTTAGTACAGTATTCAGAAGGTTAATGGTATAAATTAATTTACTCAGTAGACAATGAAACTAGTTATTCCATCAGATATGGGAGGAGCAAGAGAGTTACATGATTATAGGATAAGAGCTCTGACATCTTAGTCCACTGGAATAACAATGCAAGATCATAGGTGTCACATGTTCATAATGTAATGTATAAACGTCATGTTCATAGCGTTGTACTCGTAATATATATATAGCCTACTGTTGCGGTAGAATTAGGTACACCGCCAGATTATTTACCATTCCAATTATAAATAATTCGTTCGCAGATATAGTAATCACGAATAAGAATAATAGCTACTTTTTTTCAAATTATATACTTATGTCTAAAATATTGCGGTATTCACCCGGAAATAAGTTCAATCTATCGAATAAATAAGATAATTAAATCGGCGAGTTATAAGAGAAGTCATAAAAATATGCTCTAATTAAGTACCTTCTTTTCTGTGAATTTGCGAAAACGAATAAACCCACATAAAAAGCATTTGAATTTCCTTCAGAAAGATTCAATTAATAAATACAGTAAATTATGTAAATGTATTATATTATAAGCATAAAAATATTAAAAATGTTGTATTTAAGTCTATTACGGTAATTAAAAACTTTTCATCTTACGATATTTCGGTATTTATTCATTATAGGTAAAAATATAATGTAATAAGTACTTTAATAATTATGATTTGATAAATAATCCAATCAACAATATATGTATTAATATAATACAAACATAAACATATACGAAAAATAATTAATTAATAAATTTTAAAAAAGATATGTGCACATTACAGAAATTGTTGTAATAACCTCATTAAAAGTTGTAAAGGAAATATGAAAAAAAGAATATCAAAATAAATTACTTTAGAAAAACATAAAATTATTAACGTATTCATCTAAATCAAACTTACTAAGAGTCAATAATTAACTAATCCAGATAAAATAAACAACAAATGAATCTGCTAAAAGTTGTAAAGAACTGTTAACGTGTAAGACAAAAAAACGATCTATAATAGATAAATTCGTCAAAGTTTAGCTACTGACCCGTCTTGTTATTGTTAATCTTAAATCATCTGCTTTACAATAGGTATCTTTCGAACTGGAGGGCGGAGAAATGAAATTATTAACTATAATTAATAATTATAGGTCTATTTCGCTTATTTCAGTATCAACAAAAATATTAGAAAAACTGTTAAACTTGAAATATTGTAATATCTATCTCTTTAATTTGTATTTAGACAAGGAAACTTGACCTAGACGCTCTAATATCTGTATACTTATTAGTAAATGATAAAGGAATAAAATATCTTTATACTTTCATGGATCTGAAAAAGGTCTTTGACAGCATCTCCCTACTCTCCATCGTCTCAGATAAATTGTAGGTTTTACATAATTAAAACACTTATACCTATAAATAAATTATGCAAGACTGAAATAAAGAATTTTAATTTTGTTTCATTAATATGGTCAGCGTTCGAGATATCGAGTGTAATTCGGCATTATGTGGGACGAAACTGTATAGATTCCTTTATGCCCATGTGTGTACGGAATGCGAATAACTTGAATGTAACTGTTCTGCGTATATGTGAGTAGGCTGTGTTGTATAATGTGCTACAAAATAATATATAGTGAGATTGTTATATATACTTGTGACGATACATATGTAGTTCTCTTAGATTAAAAATATATTCCTTAGAATGTATCTAATAAATACTTTGAAAAACAACAAGCAATAATACCATAGATATAAGAGTAAATATATCCAGCTTAAATGTTACAGCAACAGTAATACAGACATATATTACTTTATATGTATGTAAAAAAGTATTAAATATATATAGATAACAGTCACATTATTGATGCTTTCAAACATTTTTAGTGAAAAATATTAAGAAACTTTAATTTGATTACCGACTAAATGTCCAAGCCTTACTTTAATATTGTTGAGACAATTTACAAAATGCTTAGAGGCATACCACCAGAAGATTGTAATTTAATTCATTTTCGCGTATGTTATTGACATTCTGTATTTATTACTATATTATACAAGACTATATCTATTATTGGAATACCATCAACCTTCCCTATCTATATAATTTAAAATTAGGGAGATTTAAAAAAAAATATTGTACATGACACATGATACCAGAAAATATTTTGCTATTTCTGCATTTTATGACTATTTTGTCTGTCATATTTTTTGTATCATGTCATAAGGGTCGGAAAATATCAGTAAACTTTATAAAAAGAGCCAAGTGTTAGTTCCATATTTACATTGCAGTTTATTCGATAACAGAACGTTAGGTTTGTCAGTAGCGCGAATATATAACTCGTCGGAATAGTGGAGTTAAAATGACCCACTTGTTCAACTCTCCACTCCGCATTGATGTGTAAAAACCAAGATTAATATGCGGTGCAAGTGATAGGCGGAGCGGCCACCGCGTTATTGTTCAAGTTCAATTCTAAGTAATAAAATAGCTGTTTAAACCGATTAAGGCCGAACCTATGACTCTACTATGACGATACGAAAATGGTGATACGAAAGTCAACTCTAATTTAAAATACTTATTTTTACTTATATAAATATTAAAGATATATTTAAAATATTAAATCGGTTTTTAATTTGTTCCCGTAATGTTTTAACCGTACAAAACAGGGACTAGACAATTTGAAATCTATTCTTTTTAAATTAGAAACTTGTTTTATCTAAAGTTGTTCGACAAACCCATTAATTCAAGTAAATATTTTTAATTTAATGCAAAACTATATATATAAACTAATGCATCATAAAAACAGGAACCAGAGTTTATACAAAATGCTTGACGGTAAATTTTATTTTAATATTTACTTAATGTCAAATAATTTATTTCTAATATATTATTTAGAATGTGGGTAATCCTCACACATAATGCCAGCGCTACTCAGAGAGAAATAATTTACGAAATAACACTAATAAAAGTAAGTTATTCGGTGACCGCTGACTTCTATGTCTTATGTCAATGTGAAATGTATAGAACTACCGGATGTGAGTGCGAGGCTCGTGTTTTTATTACCATTTCGGCCTGCCATTCATACCTTCCTCCGAAGCAAGCATGCCACCATAGTGACCACGACACGTTCACTTACGATTAAGAAAAACAGGCCAAGTGCGACTAATACCCCGTATAATAAGCTCCTAATGGACCATTAATTTTATAAGAGGCCATTTTTTATAAACACAAATCTAGGAACTCATTCTTTACATGCGAGAGATCGCGATAATCCGGGAAAATATGGTAGTATTGGTTACAATTTTATAAAAGTCCCAGTTACCACGTGGGTAAACTACAATTAGAACGTAATGCTATTGTTGTTCTTTAAATTATATTAAAGAAGTCACATGTACTAAAATATAGATTTAAAATTAATAGAGAGAATAACAAACAAATATGTACGCGAGTGTAGTCAGACCACAAAATATTATGTTTATGACATGTTTTATTAGTGTTGTTAAAAAAAATAAAGCTATATTTCTTAATGTCTCTTTCTAATGTCAACGGTTTTAAGAGTTCACTCTCAGGGTCATCATAGGGACAATCATTGCCGAGATGAAAACATATGCATTCAAAGTCAAGACCTGACACATTTTAACGGCGTCCTTTTGCTATAATCTCGTACACATTTTTAACGATCTTGCGGGTTGTATTAACTAACGGCTAACTACGTCATTACAGACAACGAATGCACTAACACAAGACATAATGTAGGCAATGTATAAGTAAACTATTTAACAAAATATATTAATTACAGATGTAAATCTTATTTCTCACTTAAAACAAATTAATAGAATTATAATAAAATTTAATGAGAATAAAAAATAACCTATTCATGTTACATCTATTTTAGAAGAGAAAATTAAGATTTTGTATGTGAAATCATTGAATGTATTTATAGCAAATGACATGTTGCAAACCTAATATTTTCTATAATGTATGTAATCGTTTTACAATGTAAAACAAGATAAATATTAGATGTAATGTAATGTAAATACACTTACTTCAATAAAAATAAGGATTCAAATAAATTTCTTATATATATACCTAAGTCTTTCATTATTATGAAAGAATAATATTTCTTTTTCTAATATTGCGCTACATAATCTTTAACCTCTTTTTTTGTAGTTGGTTGATAACATCTGATTCCATTCTATTGTTATCTTAGACAACAATATCGGAGTTTATATTTTTTGCACAGGCAAAGGAAGTATCACCTCACCTAATTTATGCTATCTCCTACCTCTTATTTACACTTCTATGGATGGGTGCACAATAGTCTTTATTATTCAACAGAAATACATGACAAAAGTTAATAATAAAAACTAGAATAACTTATGTTAATCTAAAATCGAAGGAAAACATGACGATTTATCAACAAACAATTAAATCAGAAATTAATAATTGGTAAACAAAATCAGTTCACTACTAGATAAAAAGATTCAGTAAAATCATTTAAAAAAGGTGAAATTATAATAGTATACATAGTCAAATAAGAATCTTCCCTTTCGCCTGCTTTTATTGTTACTTATTTACTTATGTTAGTCACAAAAAAGTAATAATAGATATAAATATCGTATACTATTCGATAAAAATACAATTTCACAAACTTAGTACCTACTCTCGAGTTAAACTTGGTCAACTTGTAAAAGTAAGTAGTTTAATCTCTGCACAACCGGTTTTGGCGAATAGCATAAAACTAAAACTCATCTCATAAAAGCAACGACTAGAAAGGAAATGGAAATATTTCGAGTTGTCCGTATTTTTTACTAACCTTGTGATGTCAGATTCATGTATTTATAACACTGAGACGAAGAAAGACGGGATCCACTCACGCGCACGACCAAGTTCCACGGTGGTACTGTTTCCCCCTCCGTTACTGACTCCAATATTATCCCCACTTCTTGATTAGGTTGAGACTTTGTGTTTGAAAGAGCGGAAACTTGCAAGTGAGGCCTTTATGTCTATAAATCGAAATCAGTATTCTTTAATTCGCGGTTCTTTATAGGGACTTCGATTAGAAATGTCTTTGTCATGACTGTTTAGTCAGAACGCTTCCTATAACTACTGCCACCATTGGGATCATATGCTCAATGCCGTGGTACACACTTCTTAAATATTATTTGTTTTACAGAATTAAGGAAACTATTAACTAAATAGTGACTGAATCTTTACAATTCTGTAGTCAGACCTATTTTTAAATTGTTATTTTTACTTATATTATATTAACTCAAATATTATAGTACAATCTTTGGTGATCGAGTGACAACACCTTTTTGCTTATGTACTAATTGGATGGTATTTGGGAAGCAGCAAAAACATATTAAAATCCCGCCTATAATTTAAGAAGTATCACGAAAATGGACAATATTATTAGTCTCTTAACTTCATTATGTTTAATATGTGCTTATTAAGGGATATTACCCAAAAATTTATTTTTTCAGAGGATTTATGTGTTTATTCTAAAAACTGTTATGTATATTTCGAATAATACTATATTTAATTTTATTAAATTATAAACGTATATTTTACTTTCAAAAAATCGCTCCGCTAAATGCTCGTTTCCCGCCATATTGCATAAACACAAGCGGCAGCCTTTACGTCTCCTTACACTTTCTGACAGAGACAAAGCCTGGGGCGTCTATTCACGGTTCCATATACTTTCTACAGCTTAGAAACCAACACAACCGGCTGGCGACCCTTCCAGCAAATCAAATGCTATTCGCAGTATATATAGACTGAGTGTGAGTGCGTTTTGAAGCCATTTTCTTATGTCATTGCAAGCTGACGTGGTCCCTATTACATATTTTGTGATATGACATTGAACAGTATATAATTATTAATCGACTTTCAATTTCACTTAGATCTGAATACAGAAGTGACCAATACGGTCACTGAAAAATGATAATCACAAATTTTTAGTGTACGTTTGTTATTCAGAATGGCCTGTAATGAAACACATTAACATTTGGGCCATAGTACTAATAATCCTCGAACCAGAGCCTAATTTCATCAATTATTTCTTCTCGGCCGAAAACTTCTAACCTGATACCAAAGGTGAGTTTAGGGCAGTACAACAAAGGTATACACAAACAAGCGAAATTATAAAAAATAGACCTTAGGCATTATAACTATAAAGATCATTTCAGGTATTTGTTATGAAATTTATTTTGACAGGTTGTTGAATGCTCACTATATATAGTTGTACAATATGTAGGTCATTAAAAGCAAGAACAACTTAATAACGTCACCTAATTTGTCAATTTATTAATATTTAATAATTACAATGCCATTTAATGAGCACTGGACAAACTAAGATACCGGAAAATCTATTTTTTAAGATAATAACTGAAAGTCAATAACTGCTTTAAAATTTACAGAGAATAAGGTCTATATTTATTAAAAAATATATATGTTTGTGATGTCCTGCTCCTCGACCTATCCTCTGTACTTTACTGTAGTTGACGTTCCCTAGACTTCATAACGTAACAATAACCAATATAATAACCAATCACGGATGTTTTCAACTAGGAAGAAATTGGTCCCTTCAATGCCATAAATTGACATCTATGACACTTCTCATCACAAATTGCTTGAGAAAAGTCGAAGATTACAGGTAGTTAACTTTTAATAATATTCTATTTGTGTATTTAGAAGTCTTGGACTACCATTATCCTCTAAATACGTCCACTGTCACAGAGTTAGGTTGGCTGGAAGAGATCTCTTTCAGTCTAAATTCTAGTATAATAATTCTAGTAGAATATTGAATAATTTAATTATAATTCATTTTTATCCACGAATTCCTCGAAAATACTATAAAAATGTGACAGAACGCTTTATTGTAGGAACAGTTTATATGAATAACAAAATTAGTTTCTAATTTAGAAAGAACATTTTATTGCGCTGAGATTTCTAACTCGTATTAATATAATTATGACACTGCCGTCCTAAGAGACGCGGTCATATGAAGGTTTGACCCGGAAGTATAAACACAAACATATCTACGGAAAAGGTTAGATTGTAATAATTGCTTGCTATACTATAATGCTATACATGCTATACGAGACTATCGTCAATAAGATATACGGCGTTAATTATTCTTTTTATATCGTTATTTATTAGATTATTAGAGAAGTAGCAGTGTAGAAGTACTAGAAATAAAATTAATTTATTAATTATGAAGTAGAATCATTTTTGTCCAAAAAATATCACCATATCAGTCTGCTGTAATACTTGACTATGCTAAGATGCAAAACATAGTAGATATTATTTAAAAAATCAAATAATAAAGAGTAATTATTATTTGTATAATTAAAACTTTGACTTCTAAAATGTTAATGCATAGACATGTTGTCTATCTATATATATTAAATATATTAAAATTTGTTGGCATGTCTTGAGGAATATTGTAGTCTTTTAAATGGGTAAACCTATTCGTAATCATACGAGTCCAATATGTTTTATTTCTGTAAAATAATGACTGTAGTAACTTTAGATTAGATAGGTATTACTGTATCATGTTTAAAAATCACATATTGCTTATATTTTTAATCATAGAACCTTTCTGATGCTGCTATAATGCTGAACAAATGTATAGGTATTATTATTATTATACAATTTATTAATCTCTAACATAGTATATATCATAAATTTAGTGCTGAAACTAAACCCAATCTGCAATTCTAAATTCATACGCCATCAAAAGTTTATTTGAACAGTATTCGAAGTAAGCAACAAAATAGTAAATGGAAATTAAGTGCTAAATTCTAAGCCCAGTTACTCTAAGTACATAATTATGACACATTAACTGCCTCCCGGGACTTTGTTTCCTTTTTTTAGATAAGCTACAGCCTACATCTGTCCTCGTGATAGATTGTTCTATCTTTATGCCTTATTTTATTATAATATGTGCAGTCGTTTAATCTTTAAAAGCTAACAATAGACAGATAAATGAAAGTTTCTGTTGGATTTGGGAGCAGCGTTCAAAAATAGATTTAAATTTTTTCTTTTTCATTTCAATCTGTTTATAAACTAAGGAGTACAAAGTCGAGGGATCAGTTAGCATTAAAATAAAACACTTTAAAATTATTGTAATAAAACTATATTATACTAATATTCTTATGCTATAATCAGTCACGTAAATAACAATGATAAATTTTAGCTTAGCTCAGTATTATAAAAGTTAGCCAAATAGCTATAATAATATGTCTTCATACAACAACGTCGAATATGAACATTGAACTGTAACAAAACACTGAGCAGTCGCCGATTTAGATTACATGCTTAACAATTGAAAAATAAATTTTATATATTTTCCTATGAAATAAAAGCTGAAGTTGATAACTTCTTAAAAATAACTCTCTTACAATGCCTAGTAAACAGAAAAAAATCAAAATAAAGAAACTATATTGTAATTAAATCTATAACTGTTATAGTAAATTTGAAAGTCTGTCTGTTTGTTTTTTACTTCTTTAAGACAAAACGATTTAAAGGATATAGGAAAGAAATTTGGCGCGAAAATGATTGATCTCATGCTATCTTTTATCTCAAATATTTCATCTACTATTTGAGATAAAAGACAGCCAATGTCCGTCTCTGTGATCAATTTAGATTTACGTTAAATTGCATTACGGTCCGTTTAACCGTTTGTTCGTAAAAAGGTCTAAACAGAAACAAACAGACAGATATTCTTTCGTATTTACAATATTGGTATGAATAACATATGTATACTATTTTATAGTTCAGTGGAATACAATGAATGTTAGTTTATATTACTTAAGTAAGTAAAATGCAACGGGGAGAAGTCAATTCAATAAATTACTAAAATATCCGAAACGAATAATATATCTTTGAATATATTTGTAGTTAATATTTATCACTTTCGAAAGTTGACATAAACAAACAGATACAAAAGAAAATATCTAAACAAACTGTTATGAAAAAAACATATGGACTATGGTATATGGAAATACTTATGGCTTATTCTAATATAATTGTAAAACAATAAAGAAAAATAACTAACACTATATTGGATATACTTATGTATTACACGCGATTTCCTCTACTTTTTAAGGATAAAACATAGTCTATGTAAGTCCTCATCACAAGATGTATTGTATATAAAATATGTATATTACATATTTTAATAGCAAATTTCATTAAAATCCATGAAATCGTAACAAACAGACAGACACACATTCGCATTTGTAATATTTGTATGGATATATCAAATAAATTTATTTCATATACATACATACACTGATATCCGACTGATACAAATATTTATTTGGCGGAAATATTATTACAAAATATATCAATCAATCATTTTCATTAATACATCATGATGAGTAGAATATAGGTGACTTGTAAGACCTTAAAATAATTTTTTAACACTGGCTACACTGGGATGTATATTAATCTATTAATCCAGCCATCCTAATGTTACAAATGCGAAAGTGTCGCTGAGGTTCGTTATATTTCCAGTCTTTAAAGAGTTAAAGAGATTTAATGAAAATTTACATGAAGATAAATATAGGCAACGTTTACAATTAAAAAAGTCGACGACGTAGCGGGTAACTGCTGACTTACTATAAACAAACTTAAAATAATTCTAAACCCATCAATAGAAAAAATAGGAAATATATTATAAAAATAAATGTCATAATTTGGCTATATTTTCGCAAAATAACATTAATTCCATATTTCCATGAATTGTTACATATTATGAAGAATGTCAACAGAAAAATAAATTCCTATTTCTATTTTTTCTATACTTTGCACTTTAAGAAGTACATTTTTTATATTAATTACCTAATACTAAACCAATACGAAAAAGGAAAAGAGAATCATCAAAACAAATTACACTTACTATTACTATAGCAAATATTGGTCAATGAGCCCGAAAATAATCAAATCGAAATATGTAGTCCATATTAATTAATTTGGACGGTAGGTATATATTGTTTCATATAACAGCTTAGAGTTACACATCTATAAAAAGGCAACAAAATGTTCAATAAATGATTTGAACTTTAGCGTTTTAATATAGTAAATGTATATGTTTTGAAATAATTAAACATAGAATGAATTGAGTTGATTAGATGGTGAGATCTCTTGAGTAGAAGTATGTCCACAACCTACCAGTAGCCGGCACGATGGCACTGGAGTTGCTGTATACTGTGGAACAAAAAATATTTTATTTTATTTTCACTCTGATAGTTATTTTTACAGGTTTTAGCCTAATACAATAGTGTAGCAAATGTATCTGAATAATGTAATAAATACGTAAAGTAAAGTATGTGGGTATGGATGTTTGTTACTCTTTCTCGCATTAACTACTGACCGAATTTTGATGAAACTTTACAGTAATTTAGCTTACGCATCAGAATAATACATAAGATTGTATTTATATTCAAATTTGCCGCGGGTAAAACCTCGAGCACAGATAGTTCCTTATAATTAGTCGTAGCTCGGGCTCGAGCTCGAGCTTACAACAGTACATATATTAATGCATAACTCTAAAACTAAGGTACCTAAAAATGGTAATATAAGTAGGTAAAGAAAAAGTTATGCAGTTGAAATAGCTACATCTTGTACGATGTTGGTTAATCCACGAAATGATTGCATCATGTCATTATTTGATGCGCGGAGTCGCTTACAATACCTACTGACATCTACATATTTGCGATTATGCGCACAGCGCAGTGTCTTACTGTCGTGCATGCAACCAACTAGACCGGAACATTCTGTTTGTTTAAAAATAGCACAATGTACATAGAGTGGTTATTTAGTTAGTCATTTATTCATATTTAGTAACTATTGTTTTTGTTTTAGTTTTTTGGATTGAATGTTTATTCAATCAATAAAAATAGTCTCTATAAAAATAGGACTATTTTTATTGATTATGGAATTAAGAGGCTCGCCTCGGTCTGGTAATATATGATATACTAAAAATGGTGTTAGTGAAGAATTAATGGATGTGGATATAATCAATTTTTCGCCGATAAACCGGTCGTGTATTCAAATCCATGGAATCCAAATAAATCTGCACAAGGAAGACCTTATTTAATTATATTTTTCTTTGATTCCTCTGTTTAAGATTTACCACTGATACTCAAGATAAAATGTTTTACTAAATGTAGCGCTTACATTTTGGCACGAGGCTAGTTGGTTGACCGTAATATTAGTGGTGCTCATCATTCGATCATCGCGTGAAAAATCGGGCTCCCTGTAGAATGATCCTGGAAATCCAGCAATAAATAATATTAACATCAAATAATGTAAAGTTAATAAAAGCATACTGTTTAACGTTTATTATAACAGTACAATTGAGTAGAAATATTTTATTCTAATAAACTTCAATTTAAGCACTTCTGAATAGTCACCGTTATCTTTTTTTATCTACCCCTTATTAAGAAGTCTTGTCATAAGAAGGACGAATAAGATAGTTGCTTGCTTTTTTGATGAATTGTTAAAACTTTATATTTTGAAATGTGTGAATACAAAATACCAAGGAAAACTTTTAATTAGAGGAAAAATAAGATTAAATAAGTTGTAGTAATCAGACCAGCAGAGGTAAACAGTTAGTGAATGTAAATAAAAATTGCTTTAAATAAATGACTATGAGATTGATAAATGAATTTCTTGCATCTTCAGCAGACATAATACAAAATGAACACACAAAACATAACAAAAACAGGGAATAATAAATAACCATAATTAATAACTAAACAACTGTAAGTCTCAAATGTCACGTAATGCGTATGTGACAGATTTTTTTGTGTTGTAATTGTACTAAAAGTCCCTAGATAAATCAATGTGATTTTTACCCACTGATTTTCAGCTGTAGCCTACGGGTACAGCCTTTAGCTACGAGCGCACAATAGCCTTGATATATTAGAAGAAAGTTGTCTGGATGATAAGATGTAACAAATGAATATTTACTATGATAATGGAAACAATGCAATAAAAAAGTTTGTTTACTTTTTATATAAATAATGGACCTCTAATTGGAAATTTAAATAAAGAATGATTAATCCAGATGCAATAATATTAACGCTGCAATAAAAATATTTTTATGTAACTAATGTAAATTTAAATAGACCATTTCTCAAAACTGTGTACTCATACTAATGTAATAAATGCAAAAGTTTATGAGTACGAATGGATAGATGCATGGATGTTTGTTACTCGTTCATGTAAACCTACTTAACTTGCTTACTTACTGAACAGATTTGGATGAAACTTTACAGTAATAAAGCTTATATGTCAGCTATAAGTTTCATGCTGGTGAAACTTCTGGCATTAAACTAGTGCCTAATTTTGTTAAAATTATTATCATTGAAAATTTGTGGATGTTGTTTACATTTTTGACTCTGTAATAAAAAGGATTTGAAATGTTTTTTAAATTATAAACTAATTTAATAGAACTGATGGTAAATTCACTAGCAGGTAATCACTAGGGTTTCCGAGGGGCAAGATGTGTATGTCGTCAGCAATCTATTATTTTACTACAATTGTATTATAGTCTTGTATTTATACTGCTTTACTTCCGATGGTCGCGGGTTCGATTCCTCTCACGGTACCGACATTCGTATACAAGAGTATGATTGTTTATATCGGTCTGGGTGTTTACTATGTATATTGTGTACTAGCTGTACACGAGACTTCATCCGCGTGGAATTTATCAATATTATTCTAAAAAGAAAGATTTTTCTAAAATAAAGGTAGCCTAAATTACTCCTTATTACATCAGCTACCTGCCTATAAAAGTTCCGTCAAAATCAGTCCAGCCATTTTAGAGATTAGCCGGAACAGTCAGACAAACAGACAAATATTGTAAAAAATATTATTTTGGTGTATGTACCGTATTTATATTCATATGTATGTAGTAAAAAATAGTTATTTCAATGTTGCAAACAAACATTCTAATATTATTTATATGTATAGATGTATTTACAAAAATGTATCAATTATCACCCATAACACAAGCAAGATGGCGCTGTGTGAATTATTCAGAGATATTATTATAATTCCAAGGAGTAACAATGTATTCTTACCGTCTGACCGCGGCACCAGATCAGGATTATAATCGGGGTTCTCTTTGCGAGCTCTAAACGTTCTGATGCAGACAACTGCAGCGACCACAACAGCACCAACAGCAGCTGACCCGCCGAGCGCCTCCAGCCATTGAGCCCATGAGCTAGATGAGCTCTCTTCAAGTATGGCTGTACATCAATTGTATTATGAACATGTACAATAACGGCAAGTTATTAGATATACACTGGCAAGATACTAGTAGAAGACGATGAGCCTTAAGTGTGATGGTTTACTTATTACTAGTAATAGGATTAGGCCTAATTAGGCCTTTCCACTTATTTATTAAAACTTTATGCATATACATAATTTTAAAGTACAGTACGGACTTAACATCATGCGGCATATTCTATCAGTCAACCATAGGTGATACAGAGAATAATTGTTGGCGGTGCAGACATAAATTCAACGATACACATACTCATCTTCCCCATGCCGAACCCAAATTTAGGGAAGTAATGGATAGTAATGAAATAGTACAACAATTTACTTTCCTGGCCATTCTTCATTAGCTGAATCTGTATTGTTGTTTTTATGCATGTATGTTTAGTTTACTAATTAATTTTACGTCTTTTCTATCATTGCATAATATACGTAAAGCATATTATATATACCTAACAAATGTTTTAAAATAGTCATTAGATAATGGCATAATTATAAATTTAAATAAAAGTATACGAGGCTAGTGCATCTCCCATACTCCAAATCAAAAGGTAATAATATTATATATCAGAGGTAACAACTATAACTGCACTTAGAAGGAAATTGAGTCTCATTATAAAAATCGGTCCTAATTGAACAGAACATCTCATAGATTAATTGATTTCATGTGAATCCTATAAGTTTAGTACAATTACATTATTATTATTTATTAAGATGTTAACAAAATTGCACTAATTAAGTTTTGCAGTTGACAGAAAAAGATTACATATAATATAGGTGTCACAGTAGTTTCCGTATTAGCTTATGGTTTTATCTAAACCACATTAAGGACATACAAATAAGGTTTATGTAGCTACTACTTAATAAACAGAAGAGGTTATGTAAGGTATATAAACTAGTTCAGAACATGCCTGAACTTACAATTGCAGGGAACCATAGCAAAATATGTTCCATCTTATGCCCACCATCGTGCACGAAAAAAGACCTACACAAAGATACTGACGGTGGCGTAAAATTACCAATGTCTTAAAAAACACATTTACATTGATCAAATGAAAAAGTAGGTATAATAAAATTGCAGTGACAAATTACCGGAATTACTTAATGGTGTTATTGACTGCAGGTACAAGGTCTTGGGTTCGCTACGACCCCTGGAGCTGCTAGAGTATACTACGGCTGTCATATTCAGGTCGTCCTCCACGTCGGGCAGGTGGAAATGTCCCGTTGGGTCAGACACATTCCTCAGCAGGACGCCGTCAGATGATAAAAGTTCCAGATGTACGATTTGAGATCTGCCGCCGTCCCATCCTGATAATTAAATGTTTAATACGTGTTAAAGAGATGTTATTTACTAATCTTAAACAAAATATAATAATAATAGCGTATTTAGTAGAGTTTGTCCTGTCTGGAAAAGCAACGTCATCTATTATTTCAAGTTATGTCTTATGTACGTGCTTGTTATGGGTACTAGACAACTGATATAAATACTTAGATTTTTTTTTATAAATACATACATAAAGTTCAGACCGATAAAAAATATACTCATAGATACAAATATTTGAATCGTCCGAGGAATCGAACCCGCGACCATACCATTGGAACAGTGTTTTGAAGCGCAATTCCACCAAAACAGTGAGTAGATTAAGAATATACAAAAATCTTATTCCTATAAAATGGATATATGAATATTGAGAATAACTTTTACCTTTCTTACACTGAACTCCCAAAGTGTCAGGGAAGGATCTCAGTATAGAGCATTCTGGGGATTCTGGGGGCCCTCCCTGTGTTATGGTGTAGCTGCACGGCCTTTTCTGTTCCCCGAAGGCATTAGTTGCTCTACATAGCAGCAGTCCCATGTCACCTTCGCGAGGCAACCAGGTCAGGGTTGAAGAGTACCGGTGGGTATGACCAGGAACTTTCTAAATGTTATTTTATTAAACATTAGGAATACAGTGTTCAAAGAAGAGTGATATCCACTCTTCTTTGAACACAATAGAGACTTAAAGATAATAAATTATAATATACCATTTTATAATCATCCATTAAAAAAATAACTAAGTACTACAATCATATACGAACCTTGATACTGGTGTATAATGTCCTGGAATCGGCGAAAGTCCAGCTGAATTGCAGGGGCTCTGGTGAGGCTTCCACGACGCATGTGACCGTCTCCGCGTTTCGTGGCATTGCTCCGATGGTTTCTTCGCGTCTTGTTAAGCAGATGGGTCGATCTGTGAGAACAATCATCATATAAATGAGGTGAAACACCCCTGTTGACATCCAAAGAACAGCGCATTTCATGACTGGTTCTATTCTATCTATATATTTATTTTTACCTATTCAATTCACTCAAATATTCAGTTATCTTAGTTCCAAGCTAAGCAGAGTGTATGTTATAGGTACTTGACAACTGAAATAAATTTTATATACACATTTTTTTAAATACATACATACGCGTAATATACATACAATACACCCAGACCGACACATACATGCAATTGTTTGTATTGTGGTCGAACCCGCGACCTTCGGAAGTAAAGCGATGTGCTATACAGCTAGACCACCGAGACTGTCAGACATATTTAGGCAGTGTTTTGTGAACTACGTACTGTTTTTATCAATGAGCGATAATTTTCGATTTCCTTCAGATAGTTATAAGAAATTATTATACTCTTATGAATTCTGTAGCACTTACATCCAACATTCAATGTGACTTTGTCTTCAAACACAGCATTCTGCAAGTGTGAGTTGTGAGCTCTACATACCAGCTCCTGTTTGCTGTCCCTTAGTGCTGGCGCCAAAGTTAGAGAAGACACAGTGTAATTACCATCGTGGAGTTCCTGTAATTATGTAATGTATTTGTACAATTTAGATTCAATTTAAAAATGAACATGGAATAATATTGTACACCAGATGAACATGTAGTCTGCTTGCCTGCAATGACTATTCTCCTTTAGAAAATAATTTTCTACAGTATTAATTATATCATCTAAAATGTAACAATATATAAACTTGACCTTTTTGTGTTACTAATTGTGTTGAAGTTAATCAACCTTCCTAAAATTATAAATGTCAAAGTAACTCTATCTGTCTGTCGGTCTCGTTTTCTCGCCAAAACTGATTTAATGAAATTTAGTACACAGATAGCCTATACCCTGATAAAAGACATAGTCTACTTTTTAATGCGATAAAAAGGTCGTAAGGGGTCGAAGGAGAGATGAAAGTTTGAATAGAGGTATCGTCATTTTTAAAGGTAGCAAAGGTTTGAAACAAATTTTTAAGGCTGTTGATTAAATATAAATAAATATGACATTCAGAATCTGTAAAAAATTTACCTTTAAGGGGAAAATAAAATAGGGGATGAAGTTAGTTTATATTGAAATTCCAAATTTTTGAAGATGTATCGACGAATTTTTCTCTGGCTTTTTATAATTAGCTTTATTTAGACTAATTATAAAAAGTCACCATAGGTCACTAATTCTATTAATATCCACGCTACGACGCACGACAGCTAGTTTATAATTAAATACACACATATATGCAAACGTGCGTATTACGACAATAAACATAGCCCACACACAAAATGAAATCCTAACATTATAGAAATATGTAGGCTATCCACAAGTAGTTAGTACTAAATAACTACAACATGAACTGAATTTATCTAATAAATTAATAAATAATTAATAGTTGAAACTGTACTTCATACAGACCATTAATGACCTAGTAAAGACACCAGTTTTATTATGAAATGTTGATATTAATGCAAACAGCGCACTGTAAACTTATATAGTAAATCTCTTAAAATATCTGGCGTAAAATGCACTTTAGTGGTAAGAAAAAAATAATTATAAGAAAATAATGTTATTGAAATTAGTCATTATATCCCGGTTTCTAATATACAATGCTAATATTTAAAAAAGACATATGATATCTTTAAAGTGAAAAAAGTGTTCATATGTAGCTAAGTATTAAAGAATTTAACGGCATGATGGTAAGACATAAACCGCCGTTTATATAAATCGGCGGTCAATCTCGGCACAATTCATTCTTTGCAAGGCTAAAATTTCATATCTCTATGCCTTGTAATTGCACTGCCTTACCTTACACTTTAACCGATTCAAGTTTCTTGATGGTTTGAATATGTTCTTTTTTATACTAAGATGGTGGCATACAAGCATACGGGCCATCATGATGGTAAATAGCCAAGTGATGCACAAGTACCTACCATTCAGATAACTTTATTAAAACTCTATCTTGATAAAATTTTAATTATACGACTTATAAAGAAAAATAGCTAATTGACCGGACGTGTTGGTTTGCGTTGTAATTCGTACCTCTATTTGCATTATTTGTGCGCCTACATTACTCATGCTCACTTTGTGTATGCTCGGTCTCAGCAGTGTCTCTCCCAAGTGCCAAGTGACGGACGGCGGAGGGACGCAGCCCACCACTACGCAGTCAACAACACGGGGCTGGCTGGCTTCGAAATCGTAGTTGTTGTTCAGGCGAATTTCAACTTTCAAAGGCGGTACTGTAATCATAATAAACGAAGAATTACATCACAGTGAAATAACCGCATAGCCGGGAAGCCGGCTTCGTACGATTCTTTCCATTTTGATTTAGCTACTTGTTTGTACCGAAATATGCTAAACCGGTAGACCACCGAGGCCGTCAATACACTAGTATATTCATGAAAATTTAAGATACTTGTTGAAATATCATACTTTTATGGAAATCTTTCTTTTTGAACTTTCTAACATTCAGTTGAATATAACGCAGATTCAGAGGTAGATTATATGAATACGTATACTTACAGTACATTTTCACAACGACACTTGCGCTTAGTGGGTCCGTGACGTCAGCATTCTGCGCCAAACATTCGTAATGGGCGTCCAATTCATCCCGCGTTATATTCATTACATGCACCTCGGCGCACAACACCCCTGGGCGCGCTGTGTGTGCGCGCTCGATGACCACACCATTTCTTCGCCAGTAGACCAATGTGTCTGGTTGCTCTGAAATATATAGTGACACAAATATATTCTACATAGTTCTCCTACATCATTATCTGCTTCTTCCTTATCCCATTTATTTGTGGCCGGCGTTTTTCTCTTCCATTCATCCCTGTTCGCAGTTATCTCATTATTTACTCCCTTTCTTAGTATATCATTTTTCAAAGTGTCGATACACCTCTTTTACGGCGTTTCTCTGCCCTTATAATCATCCACATTCATATGTAATACTTTCCTTAAAATATTAACTTCATTCCTATAGTATGGGCATGTAATGCCCATATCACGACAGAAATATATATTATATATATTTATATTAATGTAATAAATTAAAAGCCATAATAAAAAGGAATGTATACCTATTATGATGGTTCAAATAATTTTATTGTTTAAAATGTTAGATAATTTGTACGTCTGTCATAAATACATTTATTACATAAAAATATAAACAACTTCTATTTTCTTTTTAATGATGTCTATTCAACTAAACATATAGATAGATATTTGATAAGTTATTTGCCTACTTGATTGAATATTTTTGTCAGAGTACCTACCTATGATAATTAAATCAGAGTCGTTAGTACAATTGTAATTAATCTATAAACACCTACCGTCATTGACTTCACAAATGAGAGTGAGATCGGCACCAAGATGTAGTGGTCCGACATAAGCCTTCTTTATTTCCTTTCCATCTTCGTTGTATATTTTAGGGGCTCCAGGAGAATCTACAGAATAAATATAATATTCATTACGGTCAGGTGATACATATAAATTGATTTAATTTAATTAAAACCATAGATGTGTATAATTACAAAAGCGATATTGTTAATTATACAAGTTTTATATTATTTCATAGTTTGTTCGAAACGAAGCAAAACCACCACCAGAGTTTCAATGTAAAGAGCTTATTAAAATATTTATATCAAAAACATAGATGCGTGAGGCATTTATATGTACTTTATATTCAAAAGTAACTACTATTGATGAATGAAACATAAAATAATGACACAAATGACGAAAAAATATTTAATAATCTGACCCAAAAAACCAAAGAAATATGTTTCATTGTTCTATAAAATGGATGGATGAAACTTTGTTATCCTTTCACGCAAAATCTATTGAACGAGTTTTAATAAAACTTACATCAGAAATTTATAGTCTATATATTATTATAACCTATAAACTTCATGAGCGTGAAACCACGACCACAGCTATATTAAGAAATAATACTGACCAACTAGACGAACATCGATGACATAATCAATTGATGGTGACCCTTGATAGTGGACCTTACACCTGTATATGCCGCTATCCTGATCGCTTACGTGCTTCAGCAGGAGTGAAGTTTCATCATTGCAAAGGCCACCGTCACACGACGAGCTGAAAAAGTTACCGTAGTTCACAGATCTAGAACAGACAGACAGCAGATATTTTATATATTGCATTTTAAGTGAAATTTAGACATTTGACAATTATTCATTATAGAGCAATACGCAAGTTTCATGCTACTTTTTCTTATGATAAGACTGCTTTACGAATGAGCGGTAGATTAAAAAATTGTAGTGACTATTCAAAAACACTTAAATTAAGTTTATTGGAATAAAGGATTTTCTATTCTCTTATAAGTATTTTTAATTCTAAATAATGCTAATATACCTAAAATATTGAATATTAAAATAAACATTAGCAAATAATATTTTGTATACATATAATTGCAATGTTTTGAAGTATTCCATTATATATTTAGCACACCGCTTTACTTGCGATAGGTCGGGGGTTTGAAACCTCGCACATTGCAAACATTCATGAGTACGATTATTTGTATCTGTCCGGGAAATCTGTCGTATTCATGAGTACGATTATTTGTGTCTGTTAAAAATCTAAATATTTATAGCAGTTGTCTAGTACCCAAAACACAAGTTCTGCTTACCGTGGGATTAGTGGCGCTGCATTATTTGTCCAGGGTTATTTATTTATTTATTATCGATAGAATATACCATTCAAGAAATGAATGTGTATACTCACAATAGTATTCTTTTAATTCGTACCGAAACACTTGAAAGTACGACGAAATTTTGTCGGTGTTGTTAGATATTTGGATGTTTGTGGGATGCAATATAATAATAATATTTATTCATTCATTTACATTAGCAATAGTATACGTATACCTGTAATAAAATGTGAAATATCCTTACCTCCTCTCGGTTTCGTCATTAGGAAATCGGTACAATAAGTCCCTGTCGTTTTTAAGCCATATAATATACGATTCGGGTCCGTCGAGGAATACTTTGCCCTGACCGCATGGCAGGCGAGCATCAAGACCACGCACCGCTCGCAACACCACCACTTCTATATATAATTAAAAATAAAATAAAAAAATTAGTTGTATATTAGTTAAGTTAGTTGCCTATGTTTTTAAAAACTTACATAAGAACATGTAAATTTTTAAAAGATAGGTACATATGTATATTGAGAAAAAGTCAGCGAAAAACGATTAGCGTAATAAAAGTTATGTGCTAAAGTAATATGTACCTATAAAATATGCACCTCTTTTTTTTAAGTAGGTTGAAACTTAACTTAATCGCAAATAATTAAACAGATATTACCTGCTTCCATAGTGAGCACCCATTGAATTCCAAAGCACCATATCACAACGTAACTCAACCACATTTTGGAACCTGAAATATTAATAAGTAATACACTTGACTATGTATATTTGTTTAACAAAAACCAAGTTGATATAGTATATTCTACAAAAAACATTAAATTCAATTACAATAAAATTTTATTATTATTGTTATTTAGATACCTATTAACTTTTTTTAATGACATATTGAATTATAATGATAATATTAATTCTGGACATTTCACAGGGCACCATCTACTAACAAGCTAACCAATAGTTATGTTATGAGTACTAAACAACTGTTAGAAAACTTAATGACAGTTTGTTTTCTAAAAATATACCTATATAATACACAAAGAAAACACCCAGACCTATACAAATAATCATAAACCAAAATACAAAAGTTTGTATCGTACAAGGAATCGAACCCGCGACCGTCGGACGAAAGCTAAACCGCTAGACCACCGATGCTGTCATAATAATAAGAAGCTCTACGGTTCCTTAGTAATTTAATTTATATGCATATATGTAGGTACATATATTTCTAATAAATAACTAAAATATCAGGTATATTATATTTTTGTTTAATATATTTTCGTATAAACATGACTCATAAACAAAAGCGACAACTGTTGTACCCTATCAAAACATACACATAGACCCACCAGCACAATTTGAACTCCACTTCACTTTGACGTTCCCCTTTTCTAATCCAATTAGCATAACACTAAAAGGGGTGGACAGTTCAAGTTATGACGGGGGTTAAGAAATGCATTCAAACACGCAACCTCCCTTTTTGAGTGAGTCACGTCGTAACATAACGGCTTTAAAAACAAAAATAGTGATTTGTTAGCGCATTAATGAATTGCATTAACTTAAAACATTTTACATTTCGCTTATCCGCTCCTGCGTCCGCAAAGCGTTTTTAATTAGACCCTCTTGGTCGATGGTTCTGGGTTCGATTCCTCGCACGTCGCAAGCATTTGTAATAATGAATATTTATGTTTATATTAATATGGTTCTAATTGTACATTATGTATGTAAGAAAAAATATTTAAGGATATCCATCAGTTGTCAGGTATCCATAAAACTAGCTGTGTTTAGTTTGGGAATAGATGGCGCTGTGTGAATTGTCCGGGGTTTTTAAAAAAATAATAGACTAATATTTTACTTTTACATTACTCCCCGGCTTTATAAACTATTATGTATTTTTATACTAGACCGTTTTTGGGAGTAATACTAAATTGTAAAAAAAATAATCATCAAAACAATGCAGATTTGGAGAAGATCGCGTAAATTTTCGCATTTGCACTATGTTGAAAATATGGCAAAAAATTTATAATCTCTTGCTGTAAAAATATTGCTATAAATATTTTTTTAATTTTATACTTAATGTGACTTTGAAAAAGAAATCCTGTTACTATTAATATTTCAGTATTATATTTTTTCATTATTGTCTAATACAATTTAATAAAATTGTATTATATTACATTAAATATTTGTTTATTTAATTTTCACCGTTATAAACAATAACAATAAATTCATATTTACAAAAGCCGCCCGCAACTCCGTCCGCGTGTAATAGTGACCATGGATGGCATTTTTAATTATTTAGGCTAATTATTTCACAAATCACAAATAAACACATAGTTATAAATACTTTAATAAGCTATTTGCAGTGTTTCAATTTACATACAAACTTTCATCCCCTATTACATTTTACCCCCTAAAGGGTAAATTTTTTACATACTTTGAATGTCCTTTTTATTCATATATACCTACAAGGAACCGCCAACAAATAAGGTTCAAGCTTATAAAAATGTCTATACTTCCGGGAAGAAGATGAAAGGTTGTATCCTTTCAACTTCCCTTTCAACCCCTTACAACCCTTTTTCTCTTTAAAATGTAACCTATGTCTTTTTTTAAGCGTATAGCAAATTTCATTTAAATCGGTTCAGTAGTTTTGGTGTGAAAAACAGACAGAATTCCATTTATAAGTTGTAAGGATTCATTATACCAATTATTCATTTGAATTGTTATACATGGGAATATAATTACAAGTATTCAATAAATAAAATACCTAACGACATACAGCGCGACATTGTGGGTTAGTGTTTGGTTACTGCTTACTATCACAGTATTTGATACGAACGATTGTGTAATGCAGATATCACATATATTTTTGTATAAAAAATCACGCATCAATTTTAGTACATACGTTTCAGTATAGAAGAATATCATTTTAAAATTCCCAACATTCAAATGAGATTTTTCTATATATACTATCTGATCCGGCAAATATTGAATAACATAAAATATTCTGGATGGAGTTTTCCCTTATCGTTTAGGAGTTTAAAATATAACCTACCAAATGTATACCATAAAATATATCATAAAAAAATTTCAATCTCTTTCCAAGGAAAAAAGACAATACTAACACGATATTTTATGTATATAATATAACTATGTACTATATAGTTTTCAAATATAAAAGTGAATTATATTTACCTAATACTTGTACAATATTGAAAATCTTTCGTCTGTACAAATGACTTGAGGTATCATTATAAACAATTGTATGTGGGTAGATATAAATAATGTCGATTTTCATTAAAAACAAAATGAAAATTGAAAATATTTCTATCTACCCACATATCTACTTTTATATACAATGACACCGGAATAATCCAGTCGCAGAAAACTTGTATCTAATAATTAATAAAATATCGCGTTGCAATTAAAAACGACCGTAAATTAACAAAAAACAAATAATAATAATTAATACTATAGGCAAACTTGATTCAACAAGTTGCTGCTACAGTGCGTACTACTATAACAATTTAGAATAACTAAAAAGCCTCGTAGCATTAATAAATCAAACACAATCAAAGGCAGTATAATACATATTGATTGATAATTAGCCTATCTATGTAATTAATAATAAGTTATAAATATTTAATCATTATAATTAGAGATATTATTATTATAAAATGATAACTTCTGGTTCCATCAATGCTAATAAAATTCTCTGAAAATCCTACCCAACTGTACCCATAAGTAGTAAATATTTAATTTATTATTTTAAATTATTATTCCAGTTTAAATTACCTAAACATATTTAAATTATTATTACTATATAACAATTATTTTAAAATATTTTTATAATTAATAAGTAAAATGGCTACCTGGAACTTCTTGATTAATCAGTTTTAATTGATTATCGCGCCCCGGCTGATATTCCTTGCCCGCGTGTGGTCACCTCGAGAACTTTAATATGAATAAAATTTTCACCGATACGTTTATGCCAGGTATTGCACAGGCTTTTTTGGCTGTTAGAAAAGTATGGACAGCCTTTAAATGTTATTTATTTATTTATTACTTCGCTACCAACATTATTACACTTTATAAGATAATTATGTTGTATAAGCAGGTAACATAGGTGATCTAAATTATCGGTCACTAGGTTGTTATTCTATTTAGGAACTCAAGTCCAGCCTAGGTCAGATGAAGCCGTCATTATGCCCTTTAGCTCTCGTGATTCTCCAATATTTACGAAAACAATTATAAAATTTTAGTATATTCTTATTTATGTGTGTACAGGCTTGTATAGATTCGGTTTTGTGTCATAACAGTAGCATTGAGGTTGTGTCTATTACTTCGTATAGTAAGTACTAACATAAGTCATTAATTAGAAGAAAACCATGCTCAGGAAGTAACCGTGAGAAAATATGTTTAAATAGATTTTCTTAACAGAATTTAATCTTAACAAAAATGATGTAATAGGTAGTAGATACGTTGTCATATATATTGTGAAGAATATTGATATGGTTAATATATTAATCTAAAAATATATTACGTAAAATTAAATTACTAAATTTGAACCAAAAAACGACAACAATAATCAGAGCAAGCCGATTAAAAATGTTAATATTTTTAATCGGATTTATTTAGCATGCTCTGTATCTATATTATTAATATGCATATTTATCGCTTTTGTAATATATATATACAATAAATAAACACCTTATCCATATTAATTAATCACAGGAATAGATGAAGGGTGTCTCCTTTCAAAAAGCTTTGGCTTTAAAATGAACTCTAATTAAAAGATTTCTGACATAATTCGGTTCAACAAACTTCTGCGCTTACGACAATTTATCGTCGACACCTATTTGATATGATACGTCAATTTGAAGAGATCCACAATTTGCTGTAAATGCATAGAAAATAGGTATCTACAAAAAATGGTTTATATCATAAGTAGGGGTGGCTCCCTTTGCTTTGAGCGAAAGCTACCAAAAACCAGAGCACTTAATTTTGTCGTAATAGATATTCCTACATATTTATTGTAGATTAACCTTTGAGTTTTACGTGGGAATTAGAAGCATTAATAAGGAGCAGCAATGAAATGCAAAATATTCTGTGTACAGTAAATATCGATTATTTTTGGTATTTCATCCCCTAAGATCTTTATTTCTAGAATAAATAGTGATGTGACCTATTTGTACTATTATATAACAGAGAGAGAAAGCTGATTTTCTTTTTATAAGGAAGTAAACTCCAGAAGTGATGCTAAGATTTGGCAAATTTTTCACTATTTTACTAATAATAGTAACCCAAGACAATTCACCTTGCACCATCTACAATAATACTAAACTACTGATAGAAATACTTACGTATGTTTTAGTTCAATACATAGAAAATACACAGGACAAAACAAAAGTTTTGTATAAATATAAAATAAACTATTTATTATCTATAATATTAAAAGTGGTAAAAAATCTTTTTGTTTAGGTATACCCAATAAAACTGACGTTAGGTAGGTTGTATAAAAATACTACTTTAAGTAACCGATTTTTTTTAAAGTGAATATTACTACAGTTGCCCTCAGCCCGCATACGCACAAACAAACAGATAAGTCCCCAAATAGTAGTGTTACTAATATATTTTTCATTTTTGATCATAATTATAAGTATTGATTTAAACATTTGAATTTTGTACAACCATAACTTATATAACATAACTAAGCAGTGATATCAAGTAACAGTAAAATTGAGATGTCAGCATTATGAACAACGTATACCATTACTTTTATTATTATATCATGATAAGTATCGATATTCATGTTATACTTATATTTTATGTACACCTACCAGCCCTTCGTATGTACCTACTGGCACCTCACTATTGCGTCACCAGTTCATTAAAACCCTTTTCATTAAAAGTGCGTGCAATTACAATCAGTACTACTTGTTTGTCGATTTATTTCAGAATGATTTCGCTACGAGGGGTGTAAGATTTTTGTGAACAGTTTTATTGAATAAGAAATATGTCGATACTAAAATTATATATACCTGTCTATTTGTTACTGTTTTACAAATAAGCAGATGAATTGATCTTAAACCAATTTGACCGTTAGGTAGATTACATTATAAGGAAATATTTTATCTCAAGATAAAGGATGAAGATGCGTATAATACTATCTCTACGCCCCAGCTTTGCGCGGGTGTTTGATGGATATATTCCGTGGATAAAAAAAAACAGCAATTTATATCCAATGGTTGAATAGTTCCAATGTACCAAATACAGTACTTTAATCTAATCAATAATTCTGTAATCAATCCGTACTAATATTACAAATGCGAAAGTAACTTTGACTGTCGGGCTAACGAAATTTGGTACACAGGTAGTCCATACGTTGAGAAAGGATGTAGGCTACTTTTTAATGTAATAAAATAGTTGTATGGGGTTGACAGGGGAGACAAAAAGTTATATGTAAGTATCGTAATTTTTAAAGTATTCAAAACAATCAAATTTGTGAAAAATTTTACCTTTAAGTGCAAAGTTACAATGGGGGATGAAAGTTTGCATGAAAATTCGTCATTTTTGAAGCTACAACGCTTAAACGATTTTCTTTGGCTTTCTTTGATGGATTAGATCTTTAGATTCTAGATTTAAAATAAAATATAAATCTCATATAAATACTTTATACCTTATAAAAATATTTAAATAAGCTCTTTGGAGTGAAATACTGTAAATAGCTAATTAAAGTGTTTATTCGTTTGTGTCTTATTTGTAAAATAATTAGCCTAAATAATTAAAAAAGGTCTATCCAAGGTCAATATTCTACGCGGGTGAAGTCAAGACAGCTGGAAATAAATAAATCTGTCTGTCTAATACAATTAAACATAACGCAGAAGAGTAAACAGAAAATTCGAAAATTAAATTCTATTAAAATTAATATTAATTACTAAATATTAATACTAACTAAAGTATGTTTATATTTGCTCCTTTATATATGGCTAATTATGTTCACACCTATCAATTGATAACATGTAACAACTAAAATAATGTAAGAAAATAATTAGTATCTGTTAATTGTCAATATTTTTTTCATTCTCTGTTGAGCTTTACTGAACGAATATAGGGGTGACTGCAGAGGGCATTCCAAATACGTGCAAGGACTTATGTTATGACTAACTACTGACTGACGGATACTAATTGAGCCTGAGGGCACTTGGAGTAATTATGATTCACAATGGAATAGACAGAGATTGATCAGGAGTTAAATGCGCAAGTGAACAGATTTTAATTCTACACAACTGGTGTAACAAAACCAGAACTAGATTTAGTTATCATCTCATAACTAAATCTAGTTCTTAGTTAGTAGTCATTTTTATTCTTTGCACACTGCCATAAATATATTTACACAGAATTTAATCTTTAAAACAAAACCCATTTAATGTATACGTATTTAGCTATATATCATATATACATGTTCATAGACAATAGGTATAGTTATTACCTCTGACTTAATTTTTTTTTTATATTTGGGCATGAAAACTTTGAACTAGTCCGAGAATTATAACGTGGGTTTATTATTGAAAATATTTCCTAACAACATAAAGTAGTAAAGTTATTCATAAACAATTGACCACACATCCACATTCTTTGGCGAAACTGATAGATAACGCCAAGACCACCTGCGGGAGAAAGGGAATCTGATATCTTAATATATAATTTTATCTACAACTAGTTGCAGCCCTGGTTTTGTCCGTGTGCTCATAATTTTTGTTGTTTACATTTTGATACAGTACCTACATACCTAACCTATGTCATACTGGTATAGTATACCTTTCAAACAGTGACAGAAATTTGTCATGACTGGTAATCGAGTAGATGTCACTGTACCGACTTCATCCTTTCATCCTCCAATCTGTCGCACCAGACATTTTTAGTGAAGTTTATCAGAATGCATTAATAAAAATGCACCCAAGACTCAAAGTGGCAAAGAGTAATTCTTTTCCCTAATAATAGTTTTTTTTACATCTTCAATGTACAGACAGCGATCAGCAATTTATATTATAGGTATAGATGTACCTACATGCAAAAACATATTTCAGTATAAGTAGCCCTACCTTATTTGTGCACTTCGATCTACCTAACGTTATGTGCTTACTTAACATCCCGCTGACCGCCTATGGCGGTGCAAACGTCATTTCACAGGAACTGATATTGCAAACAATTATTGCATTAACCTATGCGAGATATCAAATATCTATCTACCTATGATATTATGTTTTTCATAAGTGCTATATTTAAACAAACTAAGCAGAATTTTGATCCGACATTGTCACGTCCCACGTTTCGAGTTTATGCAGATATATAAATTATAATGACAATAATTTAATAACATACATATTGAATTAACACTCCTTGGAAACTTAATAGCAACAAATTAAAAATCTCTACACACTGCCTTAAAATCGGTGATAACATCAATGTAGTGGTAGGCGTCGCTTGATCCCCTCGTAGGTATATAGGCAAATCATATAATATTATTATTCTGCCTGACGATTTAGGGTGCTTCTGCTCCGGTGTTGCCGCTGATTTAAAAGCCGTGTGTACACGGTTTAGGTTTGGGATGTAACTTTCGTACTATTGCAGTCATCATCTGCTTCTTCCTTATCCCATTTATTTGGGGTCGGCGTAATATGTTTTTCTCTTCCATTCATCTCTGTTCGCAGTCATTGCAGTAGGAGGATATAATGGCATGGCATAATAGATATAACAAAATGACATCCTGTATACCAGGGGAAAGGCGATTGCTAGTAATGTGAACTAATGACCCTCAACTAAATTTACGTCAATTACAATATTTACGTATATATGTACTTGAATATACTATAGTTGCAGGTATGATTGTAGTATTGCTGTCTATGATTTTTTATTTAG